TCTTGCTTTTACCTTGGCTGCCAGGCATGGATGGCGTACTCAGAATGAGGCCGAATGTAGGTGTTAAGCATCTGAGAAAAGATGGAAGGATCGAAGCGCCCGAATGCCCTCCGCAAAGGGCCAACGTTTTCGTTAGCTTTTTTGGAGGCTTTCTCAGTCTGACGGGAACAGCCCAGATCTTCCTGCACTACCACTCCTAGATCGCATTCCGTTGTAGTGCGCTGCAATATTTAATCACCCAGTCTGTATTCGCAAGTGGCTTTATGGCGTATGCTCAACACTTTGCGTTTTGTAGCGTTGAACTGAAGCAGGTTCTGAGTCGACCATTCGTAGATCCTGTCAAGATCATCCTGAAGTGCTGCATTGTCGCTGGTTGTTCTAATGGCTCGCCATTTCTTGAGATCATCAGCGAAGAGCAAGGAGTTGGAGGTGATTACTCTCGCGAGATCGTTTATGTAAATCAAGAATAGTCGTGGACCAAGTACTGAGCGCTGGGGCACTCCGCAGTTAACGTCGATTGGGTCAGAGATGACGCCGCGAACTCTTACATTCAGATGTCCTTGAAGCAAGAAGTTACCTATCCAACCGAGGATTGGGTCACCAATCCCACAACACTGCAGCTTGTGAAGGAGGCTAGGGTGGTTCAGACGGTCGAAAGCCTTTGAGAAGTCCAGATATACTGCGTCAACACCTACGCCGCTGTCAACGGTCTCAGTCCAACTGGATCTAGCAAGCAGCAAGTTTGAAGTGCAAGATCGGTTCTTGCGAAATCCATGTTGTTCTTGTGCTATGATATTGCGTTCTTCCAGAAAGTTCATCCGCGCTTGGGCAACAATCGCTTCCATGATTTTGGAGAGCACCGGAAGTAGTGTTATCGGGCGATAGTTGGCCGGATCTGTACGACTTCCCCCCTTATGGATGGGAGTGACGATTCCCTGCTTCCACATTGTTGGCACCCGCATCTCATCGAGGCATCGTTAGAAGAACTTGCAGAGTGGGTCCGCCAGGTTTGCTGCAGCCAATTTCAACGCTTTTGGACGAATATTATCAAACACCGGGAGAGGTATGCTCGCGAAGGGCAATTAACCTTTTCATAACATCTGCAGTCGTAAACGTGCTGTGGTTTGAGTCAAGAAATGTGGGACAGCTTGATGAGCAAGCACAAACACTACCTTGTGACCTGAAGCTGAATGCGATATGATCAATCTGAGGCAATGCTTCAGTCCGTGAAGGATGACGCCAAGTAGTGGAACGTATATTCGTATGCCTGCAGATGGTGCTCGAAAGAAACAGATGATTGCCTTCACACAGAGAGAGATCTCTTCATCTCCATTACATGAACGGTTCTAATGGAGCCTATGGTGACTACCGAGGTGCCTTTCACATGATCATAGACGACCGACGCAAAACAGCGAAGCGGAAGTTTGCTTTGCGATTCGACACTTGAAATGAGTTAAGGCTGCCGGCTTAGACGGATATCCTCCGAAACTTTTCAAGTATGGCGTTGAAGCTAACTTCATTGTGCTCCCAAATCTGGCATGCAGAAAAGGCGCCTTCTTCCTCGGATGAGTCAAGCATTGTCCACGTTTTAAGTATGGTGCTCGCACTTCATGCACCAATCACTAGCGGATTAGTCTAGCTTCGATTACTTCCAAACTATTAGCATCCATGCTACTTCGTAGACTATCCCCGATTCATAAATAGTACGACGAAAAAGAACAAGCTGGCTTCTGCCCCGTCAAATTCTTAAACACAGCCACGACAAGGCTGTCCTATGTCCACGTTTCACTTCAAGTTAGCAATTGAAATTGTCCTATCGAGAGCTCTGAAAGGTTAGCAAAATTCTGGGCTGCAGCTATTACTGCAGAAGCAAGCGAGTGACTTGGAGTATGCTGATAGTGTAGCCTTACAAGCTGACAACTCTCAGAGTATACAAACGAATCTGGATCTTCTGACGATTGAAGAACCTAGGTACAAAATGTGCTTCGCCCTGTCGAAATGCAAAGTGCTGCTCCAGGAACGGAACTTGCCCGTTCCGTGTTCACTCTTGAAGGTGCACCACTTGAACGTGTTGATAGCCTTGTATCCCTGGACAGCTGCGTGTCTGCTGGTGGCGCTATCAGCAAGGAAATTTTTCTCCGCATCACCAAAGCCCGGTCTGCGTTTGTCAACCTGCAACACTTGTGGCGTCGTCGGGATGTCTCCCTCTTGGTAAAGGGTCGTGTTTACAATGCTACAGTTCGCGCAGTGTTGCTATATGGAAGCGAGTTGTGGCTAGCTCGCGTAGATCGCACGCACCGGCGCTAGGTCTTGGACAATGTGTGATTGAGGAGGATTGCTAGTGTGTGGTAGTGACAACGTAGCTGCAACGGTAAATTCAGAGATCATGTCTTGGGAAATGCGAGTCTTCTATTGAACAAGCTGGTTTTGCTGAGTTCGTTAAGGTGACTCGGTCACGTCCTGCGTATATCGTTGCTTCATTGTGTTCCTTTCTCCAATGCAAGACCCGGTTGGAAGAGACAAAGCAGCGGTCAGCGAGCACATATGAAATCGTCGACATCACGTCCTGCCGCTGTTGGATCCATACGTCGGCCTGTTTGGGAACCAAAGGATGAGGCGTGCCGTTGGCTGAAAACAATCTAGGATATGGCGCGCAATCGAGACCAGTGGAAGATCAGCGTACACACTTGTTTAGATTCAGATTTTTACTGCCTAACAACTGAAAGTTTGTTTTACAGTTGCATAAGCAAGATCGTACGCTAACAGTCCTAAAGAAGCCCAATTTCATTGAACTACTTTTCAAAGGTGACAATGTGATGAAGGTCGCTGAGAAACGCATAAGTGCCTCATTGAAAAGAGCATACAACAAGGTGGAATTGCGGCTGCTCATCTCGACTAGACCTACATTAATTTAAAGCAATTAGTTCCCTTTAGCAATTTGAACGAGGCGGTAAGAAGACGAAAGCTTTTAGATGCATACATTTCTTATTATCTCCTCAGTACTATTAACAATAACCGATATGCAACTATATAAACAATTATGGGTGTGACCAAAAAATCTTGAGGTGTGAAATGAATCTACGCTAATGTGTTCGATTAAGACACCGATGACAAAGCAGTGCATGTCCCACTTTATACAAATTTACCTGTAGCTGTGGGGATGGCTACGTCGGGTGCACTGACCGAAGTCTAGGTGTCAATCAATGAACACATCCCAAAATGGTTACGCAGCCGCATGAGATCTGCGACGACGGAATCAGTTGACTCTGGAAACCGAGCTATCACAACAGTCACCAGCTGGCTACTGGTCAATGAGTCAATCCTGATGAGTCGTTCTCAGTCCTAATGCGCGGTCAGCAGCCTCAAATCCTTAGGCTATTGGAGGCTATGATTATCGATTGCGAAAAACCACCGCAGCTGACAGTGGCCCTAAGCCTGCTAACTGTGATCACCATTTGTTCCAATGTTGCATATTTATGTGATGGTTAAGAATGCACGAAATGACGGCGTCATCTCACAACCTATGTCCGCTGATTTTTATGTTTGAAACCATAAATGGAAATGCTTGTTTCGAATCAGAACGCGTAGAAGATCAATCACGCTTCGAATAGTGCCTCTGCGCTACACAACAGTTCACACATGATGTCACGTCGAATGGTGACGAAAAGACTGCAGAAAAATTGTTGAACTCAGCGATCACTAACTTCCATACTTAAAAAGGACTAAAGGGCGCCTCCACTCACAGTTACCATACTCAAGTGATTTGCTGGTCTTTGTGAGTGTCGGGTAGGTGAAGTCCAACGCACTAATAGGGGACATGCAGGCCGCATTTCCCCGTTTTGTCGAATGCAAAAACAGCATCTATCAAATAAGCAGGCGAGCATATAAACTTAATTGACTTGAATTCCGCTGGTTGTATTAATTTGTGGCGCAGAGAATTTCTCCAACAAAATATCTGTGTTGAGACTCTTGAAATCACGTAAGGTACTACACGAAGTTTTCTCCTAAATCAATTCCTTCAAGTATTCGTAGGAGCTGTTTTATAACTTCAGCTTTGTGATCAAAATGATCATGAATGAATCCGTAATGCTTTCTGTTGGGCCAGTAGTTCTGTTAGATGACCGACTAACAAACCTGGGGTACGCGTATGTCATGACCCTTATGCGGTCTGAGACAGCTGTCATGAGAGCGTTTAACGCTGCACATTTGCGCATGTGTTGCGCGCCTTCAACTTGCAAGACAGTGTTATAGAACTGGGTCCGAACACCACTAATTTTCGAGAACGGTGAAAAACGGCTAGCAAGTGCTGTTCGGGCTATTGGTCTGCGCAGATGTATTTTATATATTGATGAACTAGGCAGACAGGCTCAATGCGTGCGCATTAGTACGACTGTGTATCACTTCAAAGCCTCAATCATCAACTGATCGATCGAAAGTAAACATGCTATAGTGCTTCCAGTGCAGGGATACGCAGGATGTAATGAGTCGAAGCGAAATGGAGGAACAGATTTCCAGCTCTGGTTTAGAAAGTAGGATTCCTCCAATGGAAGCACTTCTTAACTATAAGAAGCAAACAGTGAGTTAGTCGGGCGAAGCGATTGTAGCCTAAGTAGAGTAAAACGGCTGTTGGGTCAGCAAGGGACAAGGCAGAGCAACAGCAGTAGGCCGACACGCAGCACCAACGCTTCGTTGTTGCCATCGCAACTCCTGCTTGGACTGTGTATGTCGCGAGGTTGCGCGCACCTATGCCGGTTCAAACTGATAAATTCGGCATTGCAAGGCAAACGCGTAACGCTTTCCGCCAATGGTTGAGTCAGCAATGAATCATGAGTTTAAAGTTGGGATTTGTAACTTGGTCGTTGGTTTACAAAAGTTGGCACCCAATTACGTAACAATTGCTGAGACTGTTTGAGCTGTAGACTTGTTTAAGAGACTGATGCGCAATGGATTGCTGTGCAAAAAAATAACGGAAGCCGAACGTAAAACTGAGGAGCAACTGATTCAATCAGAAACTGTTTATTTAATCGAGAACCAGTGGTATAGACATCGCTCACCAGTGAGGGAGCACAAAACGACAGAAGCATGGAAGGATGTACATACGGATCAGGCGGGTTCAATGCCTACCCGATAGGTGGTGGTGCGGTAAATACGAGTTAGAAAAGCTTGAGCAACATGTGTGCCGTTCATTTCATGAACTGGCTCTCGTGTTCAGTGAGGATTTTCGCCGACTGCTTCGCATTTAGGAAGAGGGAGCGCACTTCTTCGACATCCGATGGCATTACCTCATCGCGCCCGCCAAGTAGAGCCAAACGAGAAGCCGGAGTCAATAACTGAACCGCGTATCTGTATGGGAATAGTTTATAGAGTATGCAAGTGAAAGTTAGACTCAGCAACAATGAACAGAAAAGCTTGTAGAGAAAAAGGAGGCAAAATGTCAGGAGCTCCAAATGGTAATACTGATCAACGAAGAAAACAGGGATGAACACGTACAGAAAGTAGGAAGATCAAATCATTGAGTGCAGGGAAAGTGAGACAACTATTGGACTTCTTGCCATGTAAATGCAACACGATGGATTGTCCGGGGTGTCACGAAGGAGTAGCACCTCTGGTAGGGGAGGTGTCTTACCCTTCGGGGTAGTCCGCCTATCTTTGGTTTCCACCTGTCACACAGTTCTCACCTGTGACTCCAAAAAGCAGCGGCCACATCCCGGTCAACCGTCAGGCAGGTGGGTTAAACCAGGTGAGGGTAGCCGGGAATACTATTTCCAGTGACTTTGTACTCGCATGCAACGTCAGTCCTGACAAGTGGGCGGAAGTGATCGACCCTTGATCCAACGGCCAGAAGTTAGGACAATTTCCCAGATCACTGTTGCCTTGCAGGTAGCTTGGCTGTGCAAAGGTTAGAGGAGAACCCTCGAACAAAAGCCGGATGAGGTTGGGGTCCTCATTCGTACCCATAATCCCCACCAAACTTCATGACATGTCCGTTACCCGCGATTCTTCTCATGCTACGGCGTCCTCGGTAGGCGACGCGCTCTACGCTAGTGGCAAGAGTGACAAGTAAGCTAGCTGGGTCTCTCGATCCACGGAAGCCATTACTCATTGGATGCTGGAAGGTCGGAACCCTGCTGGATGTCGGCAGCCAAACGTTGACAATGCGCACGCTACATGACTACCAGATCGATATAACATGCCTGTCAGAATCTCGGATATCTGGTTTTGGCTCTCGACAAATAAAGTTCCTGGTGTAGACACTTCATACTGGCTTTACCACAGTGGGCCGGAAGATAATTCTAGCAATCAAGGGGAACACATGGCTCTCAGTTGCCAGGCACACGACGTTCCTTTCGTGTTAAAATAGCAGCTGCTCGTTTCAAAGGTCCCCCGATGAATTTGACCATAATCTCTGCTTACACACCAACCCTACGCTCAGTTGAAAAGAACAAAGACGGTTTTACGATATCCTACAGACGGTGGTGAATCACGTTCTAAAACGCGACATCTACATTACTGCTGGGGACTGTAATTCACGAAATGGGCTAAGGAACGATCAGACCCGTCATATAGTCGGGAGGTGCAATCTTGGAGACCGCTTTGATAATAGAGACCACTTGCTCAGCTTCGTCAACATCGATCGGTTGTGCATAACCAATCCTCGTTTCCAGCATCCCAGGAAGCATCTTCTTACATGGTAACCCAATGATGGCCGCACAGCCGGTCAAACAGATTACATCTTAATCCGATCCTAGTAGATGTCCTCCATCGATGACTGCCGAGCGTATAGAGACGCTGAAATGGGCAATAAAGATGGTTCGGACTACGTACTCCTGCGCGCCAAATTCAGTCTCCGCTTAACAACACACTGGAAGACCTCCTCCACCAAAGCGTATCAACACCGCCCTACTAGAAAATACTGACTGCTGTAATAGAAGCAGAAATTTCTGCCATTGTACCACGTTTCTTACTTGCAGAAGATGAGTCTGTCGAGACTCGTTGATATGGGCTAAAATCGTCCGTTCAACGCGCCGCCTTAACTACTCTGGGCTCTACCGCTAAGACTGTAAAGGATTGTGTTACAGGGATAGCACATCCCTGCCAAACACACCGGCGTTCAAGGAGCCAGTAAACTATGGGGCCTGAACAACATGGTCGCTATGCAGACATCTAAACTACTCCGTTCAGAACGGAGCTCGCCCTACGGAAACTGACGACAAGGGCCCACACATCTACACAGATCATAACGGAGTTGTCCTCAGTAAGAACGAGGCCAACATATACCGCACATTTTCCACTGAACTCGCCCCAGTGTCACCATCGTATCTACCGGGCTCTCCTCAATTCAACACTCTGCCTCGTGAGCTGTGTTCATGCCAATGCCTTAGCAACTGAGCACACACAGCAACTGTGATGTGTCCAACATCTCAATAGCATCGAACTCACCCCATCTCAACCCGGAGATAGGACTACTACATAGCAACTCATATACCAACAAACGTACGCCTTTCCTTATAGTTTAAGCATTTACTGCTGTTGCAGCGAGCTATATATATATATATATATATATATATATATATATATATATATATATATATATATATATATATATATTCACAGTCTGTTAACAGACATTGTGCCATCAGAACCATGGCAGAAGAAAAAGGTGAAGAAGATGGGGACACTAATGTGATTAAAAAATATGGGAAACGAATTTTTTTGGTTTTACACACGCCATTTTGTATTTTTTGTTTTGTTTTGTGAGTTTTTGTGTGTATCAAAGGGATGGTGAAATTGCGGAACAACATTGCCGCCACTGATGTCTGTTGCGGGCCATGACGTCCAATGTTTCCAACCACTGCAATTCAGCATCTCGTGGTCCCCAACCTGGAAGGCGGACTGGTCCGACTGCTGCCAAACTTGAGGTCGCCTTCTTCATACTCCTTCTCCACGTCATCGGCTGTCCACCGCGGCACTTTTTCCAATCGCTCCCTGGGAGTGCAAATAGCGCTCGACGTGGAAGGCGATGGGCTGGCATGCGCAGAACATGCCCGAGCCAGCGCATGCGATGTCGGAGAATAACGTCTTGAAGACTGGCACTATTCGCCCCAAGCACGCGGTACCTCACCTCTGCGTTGCTTACGTGGTGTTGCCACCACACCCTAGCAATCCTTCGTAGACAGCGATTATCAAAGACTGATAGCCGCTTCATATCTTCCGAGCGAATAGGCCAAGTCTCACAGCCGTACAAGAGTACTGCACGGACGGAAGCATTGTACACCCTGCCCTTGAGCTTGAGACTGACATCACGACGACGCCATAGATGTCTCAGTTTGATGAATGCAAGGCGGGCCTTTGCAATCCGTTGTGAGACTTCATCTCCAACACCGCCACCAGCCGTGATGCAACTCCCTAGGTAAGTGAAGCAAGGGACTTGCTCCAGAACATGTCCAGCAATGGTGAGCGCGGGTTCAGGCACCTGCCAATCCTGGAGCAGCGTTTTACATTTTCCCGGAGTGAAGCACAGGCCGTACTTAGACGCCTCCATCGCCAAGCGGTCCAGAGCGCTCTGGACGGATTGTGGGTCGTCCCCCAGCAAGGCGATATCATCGGCGTAGTCCAAGTCCGTGAGTCTGTCTCCAGGGAGTAGCTCAACACCGCAGTCATGGACACCTTCCAGTGCACTTTGGAGAACATCTTCGATGGCGAAATTGAAGAGGAAAGGTGAAATAGGGCAACCTTGGCGAACACCGCTGGTCACAGCGAATGAAGAGGAGTGCGTGCCGTAAGCCCTAACTTTGCCCGACGTGTGACTGTAAAGTACTTTCAGGATGGTTACAAACTTGTCGGGCACACCTTTCTTCAGTAAACAGTTCCACAACGCAGATCTATCTACTGAATCAAATGCCGCTCGGATGTCCAAAAACACTACAATTGTTGGCCGCCGGTGGATGTGACGAAGTTCGAGAACTTGCCGAAGCGTGAAGATGTGGTCGATGCAGCCACGGCCTGGACGAAATCCAGCTTGTTCTTCTCGGGAAAACTCCTCTCTAGTCGTTGAAAGCCTGCCAAGTAGGACCGACACGAAGATTTTGGATGCGACAGAGATTAGGGAGATTCCGCGGTAGTTGCAGCAATCGTCGCGGGAACCCTTCTTGTGAATCGGGACAATGACCGATTCTCCCCATGAGCTCGGAACCTTCTCCTCAGTCCAAACTTTCGTGAATAGCGATAGGATTTCGCTGATAAGTACACTCCCACCATCTTTGAATAGAGCTGGTGGTAGGTTGTCGGGACCCGAAGCTTTGTGGCGTTTCAAAGATTGGACTACATTTCGAATCTCTGCTTCATTTGGGGGGGGGGCTGTGGAGACAGGCCAAGCATCATACATTGGGGCTGGAGGTGTCGCAGGGGACTGTGTTGGGTGGTTGAATTGAAGAGCGAAATGCTCTGCCCAGCGACCCAATCGGCTGCGAAGGTTGGTGATCTTCGTGCCGTCTGCCTCGCAAATCGTCTGGCTGATAGCGTGGAAATTGCAACCAGTGGCCCTGATGATGTAAATCAGACGGCGGAAGTTGCCAGCTGATGCAGCGGCTTCCATCTCACCAGCTTGTTTTGACCACCAAGATTCACGATCAGAGCGAAGGCTTGCTTTCAGCTGTTGCGTAATAGAACGGCGGTGTTCGTTGTACTCTGCGCCAGCAGGCACCGCCCGTCGACGATCCAGCAATTCTGATGATCTTCCCGAGATCCAGCATTTGGGAGTGGAGCGAGGGAGGCCACAGCTGGACAAACCGGCCGACAACAAGGCTTGCTGGAGACTTGACCAGTGTTGATCAACATCCAGAGTGTGAGAGAGAGGGAGCTTTTCGCGAAGCTTTTGTTGATAATCTCTCTTCACCATTGGGTCCTCCAACTTGTAGGCGTTCAGTCGGGTGTGTTTTGACCTAGGCGAACCACCAAAACGCATGCAAACGGTCGCACACACCAGTGCATGATCGGTGTCGACGCATGTTGACCAAAATGATCGGCAGTCGCGTACACTGCCGCGCCACCTGCGACTTATAGCTATGTGGTCAATCTGTGACCAGCGCTGGGTTGATGATGGGGGGCGCCAAGTGGCGTACTGGCGTCCAGGATGACGAAAGCTGGTGCTGGAGAGGAATAGTTGATGATCAGCACAAAGACTGAGCAGTCTCTCTCCATTGTCTGAGCGAACATCATCATATCCATGCGGTCCTCCGAGGTGGCGCTCACATGGCAGCAGACGACCGACACGCGCGTTGAAGTCACCTGCCAAAACAATGATGTCTGTTTTAGGAGCCCTTAGGAGCAGCTCATGAAGGTTC